TAGAAAGTTTGTTGCAACATATTCTCCGTCATGTCATTATTGGGGCATTCCTTCACCATCGTTCTATACCGCTCCCAAATCTCATGCAAAGGTTTCGTGGGCTCTTGCTTGAAGGCCAATATCTCATCTCGAAGTGCCTCCATGTGCCCGGGTGAGAAAAATTTAGCAATAAATTTGTCCGCCAACTCATCCCAAATTGTGATGGAATGGTTGGGGAGTCTCTCTAGCCAATCCAATGCTTTCCCCCGAAGTGAGAAGGGGAAAAGCCTCAACCTAAGAGCATCCTCGGACACATTCGTCTGCTTGCTACCCCAACATGTATCCACGAACCTTTGAGATGTTTGTAGGCATTTTGATCCGCAGCGCCCGTGAAATACCCACGCTGTTCAAGTAAAGTCAACATCACATTGGTTATCTGAAAATTGCCCGCCCGGATTCTGGGTGGGACAATAGCACTTGCATAGCCTTGGTTCGGGAGCACCCGAGGAACCGCTCTTGGAGGTGGCGGAGGAGGGCCTGGAACATTGTCATTTGCATTGGCCCGGCGGCCTCGTCGTGGTTCGGGAGGTACAAGAGGCACCTCATCGTCTCCAATTTCATCAACCTCCTCCCCCCCAAGCACATTTCCAAGAGGGTCATTTGCATTTAAAGCCATTTTGGTACCTGTAGTATTGACACACACAAATTAGTAACAAAGAAGGAAAGAAGAACAACACACAAAACTAACTAAATAGATAGCCAAAACCGTCAGCTCCCCGGCAACGGCGCCAAAAAGTGATCGCTTCCAACTCCGCACTACTAATAAGTAGCAAGAGAGGGTCGCAATGGTTTTTACCCGATTTTGGGCCGGGATCGAATCCACAGAGAGCTAGGATTGGAGTTGAGTATCTATTTAGGTTGGAATTGCGTATTTGTTCCAAATATCACTTCTATTCATTTTTGGATTTTCTTTATGATTCTATTTTTATCAAACTACTAATTGAAAATGCAACTAGATTAAACTAAGAGTAAATTGCTACAAGTTGTATCTAATGGTTTAAAAGGCACTAGGGTAGTGACTTTCAGCTAGGTGGCTAATTGACGGGTAATTGCATCTAAGGCACGATTGACATGATTGGGGAAATATGTTATAAACGTTGCTTAATACTACCCACTCTACACCTCTCGGTAGAAAGAGTGGTTTTGCCGAATTGACTCTCTCAAGACCAATTAGGTATGCATATTTGCCCAAGCAACTAGGGTTCAAGTCGGGTATTACTCTCTCGAGGTTTAACCCTTCAATTGGGACTACCAAATCTCTTGAGTCTATCCAATTCCTTGTTGAGTCAATTTTGGAGACTTTAGGCTCTCTTTCTCAAGAAGACCAAGTCAACTTAGCACAAACTAGTGTTTGCAATCACTAATTCATAAATTAAACCATAAAATTGACCCAAATAACAAACACCCATAGTCAATCTAACCTTAAATCACAACACCCATCAATTACCCACACTAGGGTTGAGCCACAACCCTAGCTAATGGGTCTAGCTACTCATGCTTGAAGAGAAAATCAGAGAAATAGATGAAGAGAAAGACATAATAATTAATTACTAAAGTAAATACAATGATTCAGTGATAAAAACTAAGTAAGAGTGCCCAAAACGGCTAAGAAAAGTCTTCTCACGAGCGCAGCTACTGTATTACAACGTCAGATACCCTAAAAATGGAAAAAGAATCTATTTATACTAAGTTGGAAAAACTGGACAAAATTGCCCCTGCAGGGTCAGTGCGGACCGCACAAAATGGTGTGCGGCCGCACTAGGCTCTTGAACTTGAAATTTCGACTCTTTAAACCCAGGCTCCGTGGACCGCACAGAATGGACTGCGGCCGCGGAGGCTTTCAATGCGGTCCGCGCAGAATGGACTGCGGACCGCACAGGCTTAATCTTCTGAACTTGGCATCTCTCTGAGCTTTGGTTCTGCGGACCGCACATAATGGTAGTGTGGCCGAGGTGCCTCAGTGCGGACCATGCAAAACCTTCTGCGGCCGCACTGCCTTGATGCCTGAAAATCTAGCTCTCTGAATCTCCCTAGTGCGGACCGCACAAAGTGTAGTGCGGCCGCACTAGGTCTGTTTCACCTGAGTTTTATCTTGTCTTTGGTACTTGTGCAGGTTTCACTCCTTTTGAGCCGATCTTTGATATCTTGTCACTTTGTTGATCAAACCTGCAATCAAGCACAACTTATGAGCCTTTTGGGACTATTTTGTATGAATTTATAATCAAAGCATAGGCACAAAGGGGTATAAAATGCGTCAAAATCCCTAGTTATCATAGGTCAAGGTGCTTTGAACCAAAATGTTTATCAGAATTTGCATGGGAGGAAAAATTTCAAACATGTTATACTCGTGAAGTTTTTGACTTTTTTCAAGTACAGTTAAGGAAACTGTACCATTGTGAAATCAGCACCCCTGAAGACCTTCAAGCAATAGCTGGAGTAGAGAAGTACATTATCGCTGATTATTCGTTCAGGAGCTTTAACACTAGAGATCCATTTGTATTCACAGTTGAATATACACCTAATGGCGAATATCTAGGTTGCAGCTGCAAGTGATTTGAAACAAGAGGTATTCTATGCTGCCATATACTTAAGGTGTTGTCTTATAGGAGGATTAAAAACGTTAACGAGAGATATATACTGAAAAGGTGGAGAAAAGATGTCGTTTGCCCGCACTTGAAACGTTTCTTTCTAGGAGGTTACCCATGTATTAGTTCTGAATACATGATGTACAAGGAACTCTTAAAGCGTTTTGAACGGGTTTGTGATATTGCCTTGGATACTGAAGTGATGAGGCGATATGTTAATTATCATTTGAACAGATTGGAGCATGACCTTTCGAATTGGGATGATGATCAAATGATAGTTCCAGATTGGGAATTGAAAGATACACATGATCGTGTGGGTGGGGGTGAAGGTGAGGGTGGGGGTGAAGGTGAGGGTGAAGGAAGAAATATAAGAGATCCTAGATACGTAGCTTCTCATGGACGTCCAAGGTTGAATAGATATAGAGGGCGAATTGGTTCATACTTTAGAAGTTCACAAATGGGCGGTGGAAGTGGAGTTAGAGGTAATAGGAGGGGTAGAGGTGGTGGTAGAGGTGTTGGCAGAGGTGGTGGTAGAGGCCGTGGTAGAGGCCGTGGCAGAGGTGGTGGCAGAGGTGGTGGAAATACTGGGCTAGCGGAAGGAATTGAGGTAAAGTATAACAAATTATTATTATATTTTTTTCCCGAAAAATACATTACTTATTAGTGTTATTTACTCTATACAGCAAGATAATGCAACAGTACCACCACAGAAGTGGCTTGCCTGATCTAAACGATGAAGCAAACTGGGAGATAGAAGACTTGACCATTTAGTTTGAGATGATTTAAGTTTGAATCTTATTTAATTTGATTTGAGATATATTTTTTTGAATTTTTTGACACGTGTGATATTATAATTGTAATTGTCAAATATTTCTTTATTTTATTGTTACTTCATTTTAGTTTAGAGGACTACACTAACAAAATGTGATTAGTTGAAACTAGTACAGAAGTCAAAGACTTCATAACATTATAATTAGTTCAAACTAAGAACTAAAATACTCACATTTAGTTACTAAAACCCTACCCTTCAACCCTACTTTCAACATTCAATTTAAAACCCTACCTTCAAAACCTATCTTGGTATCCCTACCTTCAACCCTTACATTGCACGATTTTTTCCCCAGAAAATTTCAACATTCAACTGCAACCAATTTCTAACATTAACTTCAACCAAATACTCCAACAGTTCATTGTAAAATCAGTGTAACCGTTCCACCTACCCATTTAACTTCCCTATGTAGCATTTACTAGATCTTACAATACATTAACTAACTTTCCTATAAATCATTGGGTGTATATCTAATGGCGAATATTATTATTATTATTATTATTTTCTTCTGTATTTTTGTCTCTTTATTCCCCTTTCAATATTTTTGTATATTGAAAGGG